TGCCGAGCGGCTCCCGGACCTGGACTTCCTCCTTGCCGAGCGGCTCCCGGACCTGGACTTCCTCCTTGCCGAGCGGCTCCCGGACCTGGACTTCCTCCTTGCCGAGCGGCTCCTGGACTTCCTCCTTGCCGAGCGGCTCCTGGACTTCCTCCTTGCCGAGCGGCTCCTGGACTTCCTCCTTGCCGAGCGGCTCCTGGACTTCTTCCTTGCCGAGCGGCTTCTGGACTTCCTCCTTGCCGAGCGGCTCCTGGACTTCCTCCGGTAACTCCTGTAAGGGGATTTTGATCTTTTCCCCTTCTTGGATGACTTCCTTCCTCTGTCCTTGCGCGGGGACCTGGACCGAGTCCTTTTCTTCCCTGAAGGTGACCTGTCCTTGGACCTGGACTTTTCTGAGGCTTTAGGCTGAACGACGTTTGGCTTCTGGTCCGGTTCTACGGGTCTCTGCCATTCAGATGAACCGGAACCTAAAACGTTCAGATTTGGACACATAAAACCATCAGACCAGGCGCTAAGGTCGCTCTACCTTGGGCAGACAGTTAGGAACCAGAACCCTCAGAAGGTGAAGAAGAGCCAGAAGCTCTGAATTTACCAGGAGACACTCTGAGATAAAGAGGGAAGCTAAGGATGTTGGTACCTGCTTCGGATCTTTAGAACCGGAGGATAACATCTGGGCTGTAGGAAAGTAGAGCAGCTCTGTGTTGATTGATTTATGCTAGTACCGATTCAAGGTTCTCACCTGGTCTGTTGGAGGGGTCCGGATCGTTAGCCGACTCTGTCCTCTCCTCGGCCCGCGGGGACCTCTGGGACAAACCGAACTCTCTCTCAGGAGAACAAAGCCTCTCCGAGGGAACCACTTCGTGAGGATCTCCTCTCTGGTTCTCAGATAGCCTACAACACGCCAGAACTTCTGCGTTAGATATTACACCCAGGAGGAGGGATTGATGCAACTCGCAGCAATCCCCTCGCTTGGTTTTGATAGAGATCATTTAAGGCCGGGTATACACTCTGCGATTCTTTCAGTCATTATACAGAGCTACGGCTCGAACTTTACGATGAAACTGCAGGGTTTAAAAGTTCACAGGTCACCATGTACGTATGCAAACCAACGCGCTGATGCGATTTTAGGACGGCAGACCGTTATGTCTTCAGAACGTAACGGTGAAAGTATTGAACGTGAAAACATCGCCATCCCATATGTTTCTAGGGTCTCTGAAAATCTCAAACACAGAAGAGCGCCCTCCTCTGGAAAAGACTCTGGGTACATCTACACCTGATGGACAAAGACTGTCCAAAAAGTGAACATTCTGGTCCTCCAAAGACTAAGAAGACAGGTGATTTGAAAGGGGCGTGAAGGAAGCCATCTATGTTAAGAAAGAAAAACCAACATCAAACAGAGTGGGTGGACTCAGTAGACCTCGCCTATTCAGCCAGGCCAACAATTCCCTTTAACGGGTCGACCCCCCTTTCAGAGACATAGACAGGTATGGGGCATTGCAGGCTAACAAAGAAGCCAAACGACCCCCATTCCAAAGGGGGGGACCCGTTCATCCGTTTCTATTTGCATGTTTTCTAAACTAAAACCAGGCTTTGTTGGTGGTCCACTCTATAGAGCTATTTCTG